AAAGGAATAATATAAATTTTATTAGAACATTAAAAAGCAATAAAAATAATAAAGTTTATTGAGTTTAGTGCCAAAATCAGCTTGCACTCAAAGTGTTAATATACGCCCTGTTTCCGCGAGAAAAAGATTTGTATATTTTAGAAAAATTAACTTTGATATGTTTATACATGTATAAAAAACTTGAAAAATTAGATACAATGTAAGATGTGTTTTATTCTTAATAAATAACTCGGCGTGTTCTCGCCGTAAATCATTTTGCTACAAATTATCTGAAATTTTATACTGTCGGTGAATTACTTTCTGCAAACCGATTTATTATATTTCAAAATAATGACAGTCGAAATTTCACGATTATTTTCAATTCGCCGAAGCAACCTGTGCTTATATTTTAATATTCCATAAATCCATTTGATTTATATTATTTTTTTTATAAACTCATATTTCAAGTTATAATTAATGACGTATTCTAAATATTTTGATTCACGAGTTTTATGTATGTATATATATATAATACACATTGCGCGAATTCGGGCATTACTCTACACATAAAGCAAATAAATCACTCACCGGCGTTGTATCGGCATGGTGCTGTATGTCGCACCTGAAACAATTTTTAAACGATTATTAATGACGTTTCAACAATTGCGTTTTGTACAATGGCAGATTAATTTATTCTAAAATATATCCTAATTTTCTTTTCTTAATTCTAAAAGTAGAGAGAAGTCCTCCATTATGAGATAGGATTCTAATACGAGATAGCAGGTTTTCAACGTCCAAATTCAATCACAAATCTATTTTCGCAACGATTACACGATCTAACAGTCAATTGTCCACTAAACAGATTTCACTCCGAGGGCAATAAATTCATGGTGGAACCAACAAATGACGCCTGTTAATTTAGCAGAAATTCCACTATCTTATAATAGGGGACTTTCTTCTACTATCACTTAAATAGTCTGCCATTTTGACTAATTATGAAAATAAGAATTATCTTCTAAAGAAAACTTATAACGAAGAAACTAATCTTCGAGGTTATTTGCGCAAGAATCATTGAAAAGATAAGCGGCTCTAGCAATTATTTCGAAAAACAGAAAAATAAATTTACTCACCAGCCAATATTCGTTGAGTATCCTCGCCAGCTTCTGCATCCGTCGTTGACGCTCGGGGGCGGCTCCATTTTCACTTCACAAAAACGTATCGACCGGAAAAAGACGTAACTTAATAATTACGAACGCGCGGGGAAACTATTAACGACGCATTCCCGATTCTCAGCGTTAGAACACTTTCGACACTCCCGATTTTACACTGCCGACTTTCCGCACTGCCGGCTCTCAATACTCGACACTTTCCGCACTCCCGGTTCTCAATCTCGACATTTTTCGACACTCCCGACATCCGCCCGCGACTTCCGCTCCTCGATGCAGCCTCGATACGGCGTATATCCATCAACCACGACACCTAAATTAGCACAACGACGATAATCGTACGGCAGTTACACGTTAAGCGAATAATGTGGGGCGTAAGGAAGCTTAGACGCGTTAATCCGGTTCTACATTGATCGTATCGTAGCTTCGCGAGCGTCGAAAATTACAGACTCGATCGATCAGCGTCGAATTGGGATCAGGGGCTCGATTCTTGAATTCATTCGATAGAGAAACGTATGCGAAAATTCTTCTCTGGCAGAAAAGTTGAATGTCGATTACTTAAAAGCCACGCGAATAACCCATCAACTTGCAACCTTTCTGTGAGAGCAGAATTTTCGCATACGTTTCATCTTCGAACGAATTCAAGAATCGAGCCCCAGTCCACGGCCCTTGCGAACAACCAGGGACTCGATTCTGGAATTCATTCGAAGGCGAAACGTATGCGAAAATTCTGCTCTTAGGCCTGTTATACAATACGTCGGATGTCGCTTTCGAGACGTAGCCGATGGTCCAAAATGTCTTTTCAAACAATAAATATATAACAATAGCCATCGGCTGCGACATCGTATTATATAAGTATAAGTATAAGAGGCCTTATAGAAAAGTTACAAGTTAAATAGTTATTCACCTTTCGGCCAATCGACTTTCAACTTTCCGGCGAGAGCAGAATTTTCGCGAACATCTCTCCCTCGCATGAATGGAAGAATCGAGTCCCAGAGTGCGATGCGGTAAATCACAACGCGTATCGCGCGTGCTAATACGCAAAATAACGACTACGCTGGCACGATTATCGTACACGGCACGAGACTACGATCCGCGCGTCTTATCCGTTCGGTGCGAAAAGATACACTCACGCGGCGCGTTCACCCTGTACGGCGTCCGGGCGAGGAATGCGGGCGAGGAATGCGGACGGTTGTCGCGAGCTTTGCTACGCCGAAGCTCGCGATCGTTGAAGGTCAATGACGTCAGCCGGCTCGGTGAACGAGCGCGATTGTTTTTCGAAGGTGGGCGATTGATAACGAAAACAAATGACGTGTTACGGACGTGCCCCTGCGCAGCGCGGTAACGGGCGGATCGTCCTCGCAGTCGTACGTGTATTCCCGAGCGGAGCGGACGTGTCTCGATCTCGTGCCGAATGCCACCGTGCGAACGATGATCGCGGTAACAATTAGCGCGCGTAATCAGCGCGTGTCTCCTCCGGTGCTCCACGCTGCGACGTCCAAGCTTCCTCCGTCCGTTCACGAGAGGGTGAGAATCGATTGATCAGGTAACCGTGCGATACGTAATGTGTAATATATCAGACCTTTTGCTCGGCCGCGAGTGCCACGTTACACGTTCGAGCGTCGAGACGTTTGCCGCGAGAGCAAGTAAAGCGAACCGAGGGGATGAAGCGTCTCGCGCTGTTAATTTATGATATCGTTATTTCGCGTTTATTAATGTGGAAGTATTAATTGTGGAAATTGGAAGTGCGCGTTGCGATCGTGCAGTCGCGAGTCGTTCAAATGAGATTAATTCGAGTATCGCCGTTAAATATTACAATGTGTCGCTACTCTATTTTATCGGATGAAGTCAAGTTTTTGTATGTCGTAATTGGAAAGTTAATAAATATTGTAGATAATATATACGTTTGCATAAATGTATATACGCGTACAAACATATTAAATTAAGAGATCTGTATCTCGATTAAAAAGTAAATTGCGATTTTTTTTATTATTGTCGAGTTTCTCGTATAGTCAAAGATTAATCCAATTTTTTTAATTCTTAATCGTGTGATAAATATATATCAAATATCAAAAAATTCCATTTGTTAATAAAATACTTATTTCGGAAAAGACTTAACATTCAACACGCATCAAAATGAATTCATTTCATATCTCGTCTCAGCAAGAATGCAAATACATTTTCATCCCAAGAAGTTATTCTCTGTAACTTGGCGGAAAATAAGTTTGACGCGGCTATTAAAAAATACATTACGAGTTTTTATAACTATTTCATTTATCTTATCGTCAAAGAATAAATCAATCTAAAAAAATTCTTAATTATGCGATAAATATATATATGTCAAATATCACAAAATTCCATTTTCTAATAAAATACTTATTTTTAAAAACTTAGCATTCGACACGCGTCAGAACGAATTACTTTCATATCTCATCTCAACAAGAGTGCGAATACATTCTCGTCCTATGAAGCATTCTCTGTAACTTGGCGGAAAATACGACGCGGCTGTTAAAAAATATATTACGAGTTTTTATGATTATTTCATTTCTCTTATCGTCAAAGAATAATCCGTTTTTTTCAATTCTTAATCATGCGATAAATATATATTAAATATCAAAAACTTCCATTTTCTAATAAAATATACTTATTTTTTAAAAACTCAGCATTCGACACGAATCAAAACGAATTAATTTCATATCTCGTCTCAGCAAGAATACAAATACATTTTCATTCCATGAAGCATTCTCTGTAACTTGGCGGAAAATAAGTTTGAAGCGGCTATTAAAAAATACATTACAAGTTTTTATAATTATTTCATTTCTCTTAGCGTCAAAGAATAATCCAATAAAAAAATTCTTAATGATGCGATAAATATATATAAAATATAAAAAAAATATATTTTCTTATAAAATATAGTTATTTCAAAAAACTTAGCATTTGACACGAATTAAATTCATATCTCATCTCAGCAAGAATGCAAATACATTCTCGTTCTATGAAGCATTCCTTGTAACTGGGCGGAAAATAATAAGTTTAACGCGGCTATTTAAAAATATTGTATAATACTTTTATCGCCAAAGAATAATCCAATTTTTAAAAAATTCTTAATTATGCGACAAATATATATGAAATATCAAAAAATTATATTTCCTAATAAAATATAGTTATTTCGAAAAAGACTTAGCATTCGACACGCGTCAAAACGAATTAATTTCATATCTCATCTCAGCAGGAATGCAAATACATTCTCGTTCTATGAAGCATTCTCTGTAACTTGGCGGAAAATAAGTTGGACGCAGCCACCGAGTCCACCTCAAGTTGGACATCAGATAACGCCGTTGCAAAGGGCAAACTTTGGCTATCTAGAGTTTCTTTGGCTATATTGCACAACGAAATTACAGGACATCGAATATTCTCGTTTGAAGTGGGATTAACACCGGGAGCAATTAAGTTTAAACCGCGAGCTCGGACAAAAGGTGAGAAATGAAACGAATGCATCTTGCGTTACAAGTTCGCAAAACTTTTGACAAAACAGCCCGGAATATTCCGTCAATGTCGGATGTCTTTAGTTTCCAGCCGTTCTCTTAAGAATCGCGCGTCGCGGCGCTTTGTCTTTTCGGAAAACCACGAGCGCCCGTGTGAAACAACTTTATCGGGGAGGCGTTTGATAGTTGCCGCGCGCGAAATATATTCCGTGTCGCGCGCGTAAAGAATGTGTATTTTCCACCGGAATAAATTTATCCAACTGTTTTACAGCGGCGCGTCATGTTTAGCTTAGGAAGTTTAAAGGGTGGAAAAGTCACGGGCGACGCGTGTGTACGCGCATATCGATCGATATCTCTCGTTTCTTTCCAGGCACAACGACCTACCCTGGAACATACGGAAGTTCCTGAAGAACCAGCTGAGGGAGTTCAGATTTGATGACCTAAGTGGCATTCATCCCTGGTCACGGAGCGCTTGGAGCCACACGGATCTCAAGAGGTTGAAACAGGGCATGGTCGCTGCGCAGGTGAGTTTAATATAATAATAACGGTTTCGTCAAAGAGTTCCCGAACGAGAGTTCGTCAAAGTTATCGGCTCGCCCGAGCTATCGCGTGACCGATTGAACGTGCGGAAAATTTCTCGGTGAACATAACGGCCTCGCTACGATTAATTGCCGTCGATATTTACGCGGGGCTCGGAGGGCTAGGAATGGCCCAGGTTTTAAGGGTAAAATGTAATAATTCGTCGAACGGCCGGACTCTTGCAAGGATACCACTCGCGGAAGAAATGTATGAGAATGCGGTAAAACTTTTAAGAAGATTATTGAAAAGCTGCTTATCAAACGTGCCGCGATTTCTTGAATAAGTTAACTACTTGATCAGATTTTCGTTGCTTTAATTATTCGCGTATTAGGCTCGCCGGTGTTGCTGTAATCTTTTCAGATTGCGATTTCATATTAGAGATTTGTGTAAAACTCGTAAATAGATTATGATCGTTTGTTGCTCGTCAGCGAAAATGCGCAACTCACGGGAGATAAGCAAATTTACAAAAAAAAAAGAGAGAGATAACGTTGTTGTGGATTAATCTAAATTTCTCACTCGGTTTTCGAAAACAGACCTGGCAATTAGTCGAGCTTAACATGCGATTTTCGCCAACTTCGTCGCAAGTGAAAATTAAATTCACGCGAATGAGGGAATCGCATGTCGCCTTGAAGCCACAGTACCGCCAAATTGCAATTAAATGTTCGCACGTAGAACTCGACCTGCAGAGTCATCGACAATTATAACTAATTTAAAGTCGCGTTAATCCAGTCTGATTTAAATTCAAGCGGTTGCCGGCTCGCAGAATCGCATGCAGTTACTCGTTCACCAATATTGCTACGAAATGCTCGGCGTTATCCTGAAGCCTGTTTTGTTCGCGGCAAGTAGGGATTATTAATTTATAGCGTGCCGTGTACGGTAACTCGGCTATAAATCAAACAGCCGCGTCGCCGCTGCCTGATGGCAATGAATCGATTTCACCAAGATTTTACGCCTAACGCTAAACACGAATGCGCGACGCTCGTGACATCGGAGCATCCCGGTGCGCCAATTTGTATTTGAATTTCGTCATTTCCGAGGGGTAAACCGCTCACCAAAATCGTGTACACCAATGCCTACACGGAGATAATTTTCTCTTCAAATTTACCCCGAAAATCATGTAATCGTGGGATAACATGACATTTTGAGGAACTTTACGAGAGTTTTTTGAAATTTTACTAGTAAAATGTATGGTAAAATTTCAAAAACCTTCATAAAGTTCTCCAAAATGCCAGATCGTCCCACGATTACATGATTTTCAGGATAAATTTTAAGAGAAAATTCTCTCCGCGTACTAATGTGTACCCCCTGGTCATTACTTTATCTTATTATTTTATCTTTGTAATGTCCCAGCAAGGTCTGATGCCCAAACTAATGCCCAAAAATGCCTCAATATAAATACCTAGTATATCCAGTAACGCCGCAAATCTGTACACCACAATGCCCTTTACCCCTCGCTTATTTCTATCGCACAAGTGCGATAAACCGCTGTAAAATGTACGTCGTAGGAGGAAGAAAAAAAGGCTAGGTTGTATATCGAATACCTACGTATTACAGTAATTAAAAAATTAATTATCTGCCGTGTTACATCGCGCGGAACGACCTCGCGGGCGAAATTTGCCGAGTAACGTGGTCAACCCGAAATTATCCAGTAGATCTTCCGATTTTCCGCGAACCGTGAATTTAACGAATATAAATTTTCATCTTTCCGATCGCGCAGTTAAAGCTTTCGCGCGCGACACTTCCGCCGGGGCGATCGTTAATATACGGGGATTAATCTAAAATCGCAATTAAGATCTGACCGTAAAAAATCGCCTCTCGGTTCAATTAACGGCGGAAACGGCTCTTTAACGACCCGAGGAAAATCGAGGCGAACTTGGGCAATTAATTTCCTTCGGTTGCCCGCCGTGCTTCACGTGCCGCCGAAAATTTACCACGACACGATCGGTTTCCTCCTCCCCTCCGCCCCGAAATACCTTCGATTAATCCCGCGAAAATCCCTTTCCGAGCGGCTCGGTATCGTATCGAATAAACTTCGGCATAGCGCGCGAAACTTTGCACAAAGTCGGACAATCTCTATCGAGCATTGACTCCCAACCACATTCGAGGTGGCCTAAAATGTTCGTTAGAAATAGATAAGAGATAGGAGTGTCAAAGTAGACAAAACACAAGTAAACTAGTACCAAAATTTCGACTCGGGGAAAGTCTTAATTTGTTATAAAATTTCGTTGTAACAAAATATATTCAAAAGAAATGTTTCCAGAAAGAAAATTCCCCCCGGGAAAGAGATAAAAGTGTACAAGTCCAAGACTGAAAGATTTTACGTATCGAATAGAGCTAAATATTGCTTAAAAATTGAGATGCGCCATAAATAACGCGAATACTCGAGATTGCCGCCGCCCGCGTTCTTTTGTACGAAGATTTTCTTCAACTCCAAATGTTCTCATTATCAAAAATTACTCCCCTTTGTGCGTCGCGAGCTTATTGCATTTAAAGTAGCTCGCAAAGGGGAGCAAAGGCTGCGTGGAGAATTTATTTACGGTACTTGAAGCGCTCGCGTAGAGAACGTGCCTCCGAAGACGCGAAGTGCATAGTCGAGAGTTAACACAGAAGGGGAAGATAAAGACGCGTATACAGTCGCGGGGTGCACGCAAAGTGGCCCGGGTGAAAAGTTTCGGGATACGCGCGCGGATATAAAGATATTCCGCGGGAACGTGTTCGAACGTCGAATTTAACGTGCCGCGCATATACATTGGTCGTTTTGCACGTGACCAGCCCCCGCGGTCCATTCAAACGAGAATCTTGGCTCGCTGTTAAATAAACGACGTTACTCGCGATCAGTAGCGGGGTACACCGGTCATGGAGCCGATATAGCGCGCAAATCCATTTAAGAGCCCGATATCGAACGGCGGGCGAAAACGAAGCGTGGCTCGTATACACGCGCGTTTCCGCGCTATACATTCTTAAATGCATTGAATCTCGGATTAAATCGGAAGGAGGATTACGGGATTTCGGTCTCTCGCGGATGCCGATATCCATTTTCGAGGTGCCGCTTCTTCGCGTTTTCTCTTTTCGAACGAGGGTCCGAAGCCGCCCCGGAGGCACGGGCGGCGCGCGTGCCGGACCCGTTAAAACGCATTACGAATTAACGGGGGCCGTTGCTCGCGCCGCGAGATAAGTAAATAATACATCGCGGGAGATTACACCGGCGTGAAACTTTCAGTTTGCAATGCGTGGAACTTGTAACTGAACGGGCGCGACGGGATGCAGAAATCGAGCCCGTTCCCGGCGTCGCGTCGCGGATGAAAGCGTAATGCTCGAAGGTCGCCCGATGTATCCCTGCGTCGCGCGAAGCGGGGAGGAGATTTCTCGAGAGACCTTTGAAAATGCCATCGTTCTCGTTAGCAAAGACAGTCTCGGGGTGATCCCCGGGCTATTAAGCGCCCCATTCCGAAGCCGTTTATGGTGAGCGAGACGGCGAGCCCGCGATAAAGGGGTAGCCGCGATCCGAAAAGTCGGAGCGGGTCCGTGGGGCCGGCGCGGAATAAGGCGGCTTTGAAAAGGATCGGGCTCTTAGTCGCTCACCTTAATGTTAAGGTATCCCCTTACCTTCCGTGGCGGTGGAGAAGCCGAAATGAGCATCCACCGAGGCAACGCGAAGACGTGTAAATGCGCGGCCATTTACCGTTGCGGCGTAATGAAATCATTAATGTTATTAAATGGAATATTAATTTGGTGCATAATGAGTGGGGATGCTAGTAAAACGCGCCGTGTTTACAACATACCGCCGCGCGTTACGAGCAATTTTTCATAATTAATGCCAATCTCGCGATCGCGATGTTTGCGAGGCGCGGGCGTGATAACGAGGAAAAATTATGAGGAGGATAGCCCGGCGCGGTAATGCTCGGATAATTACGCGAGAACTTTTTTCATAGATATCGTATTTTTATGCGAAACAATTAATAACGCAATTAAAATTGGAATGCGGCTATAACGAAAGAATTTCGTGATGCCTATATGCATAGGAGGCGCGTGGAAATATCGCGTGAAATATCATTAATAATGATAGAAGCGTGCATCGCGCTGTCGAATTGAATTTCTACTTGGACTTTCGTTGCGCTTTATTAATAACATAAACTTCTAAACGTGATCTCACATCGAAACGTCCCGAGTCGAAATTTTGGCTCTATGTTGAATTTATTTCTATTATATAGTAGGACCTAAGATAGTAAAAGAGGTCGAACTGCAAGTACAAAATTTACCCCTACTTCAAAACTGATAGTATAGGAAATTTCTACTTTTGCCAACTTGGCGTTAAAGTAAGTCCTTTTAAGTAGAAGCTAAAGTAAATTTTTAGAATTAAATATTCAAGGGAGGAGAAAAAAGCATAATGTCATCAAAGCTGGTTATTGCTGGTATATGTAGGTGTTTAGATCAGCTAAGTAGGTGTAAATTATCCTTAAAAGTGTCAAAACAGTACCAAAATTTCGACTCGGGGTGCAATATTAAAAAAGGGGGACCTTTTAGGAACCTGAGAGGCGATCGTAGTGCCTGCATCTCGGATTACGTTCCGACCTCGACAGTTCCCTTAAGGTATCCAGCCTGCCAACGTCAGGACGAAAGGGATAACCACTCGGTTATGTCCATTGGGACGAACGCGCGTACAGATTCATGTAACATGTACATAACGCGTATACCGGAGTGTATACGGCAGCCAAACCGAGGCCCGCCTCGATCTATCACTGTCCTGGTTAATTCAGACGGGCTGGCGGTATCCACAGCGGAAGGTTACTCGCCATTGATCGCGTGCCGTCGACTTACGTAGAATCTTACACGACACCGCGGCGTGGACGAGATTTTCCATCCTTTTGTACGTCCGCTCTCTCTCTCGATCAGACGCGCGACGGAACCAGGTACAGACAAAGGGGTAACCACTAGCTGAAATGTTGTCCCACCGATTACACGAGGATTTCGTAAGGATTTCATAATAATTTCGGAGACACTGTCCCACGATTACAGCAAGTGGTTACCCCCTTAGGTACAGACGTCAATCTTGCTATTACGATATTAAAATTTTCGCTATTAAATAATACACGGTGTGTGTTAAATCCCGCATGTCTCCGACGCGTTTCTCAAAAAGGATCTTATTTATTCGAAGATACCGTTTCTAGTGTAAAAAAGAAGTCTCGCTACATCCTCGCGTATAGTACACTAGCGCGTCGCAGAATCCGAAGAATACATGTGACAAATACTTTCGTTTGTACCCCCGGGCTGTCTATCTCGGGAAACCTTCGGCACTTCCGGCACATCACAAATCGCGAAAGTGCATTCCAACTTGAGATGAGTCGAGGCTCTCCGATTTATCGCGTCGGTGGATTCTCGGTGGGAATTTGCGTTACACTTTCGGTGACTTCGTCGCGGGAGAAGCAATTCGTACGGACGGGAGGAAATTTAAGTCTCGCGTGCTTGTTTCGGAATTTTAGATACGAGGAGAGAGGGACCGACGGAAAACGGAACGCCAACGGCGAAACACAAATTCCGTCTCCTCCGGGTTTTTTTTTTATAACTGCAACTAAATTGAATTTCCATTATTGTCCCGATCTCTCATTATATATTTTCACGTCCAATAACCGTACGAATGGCAATAAAAATGCAATTGTCCCCCGCGTATCGATATGATATCGATTGGATATTTCAACACGAAAAATTTTAATAGCCAATTTTCGCTTGAAATTTCTTTAGTACCATTACCTTTTGTTCCAAAAAGCGCGAGCAATAGAGCTGGTGACTGTTCGACCGAGCAGCTCATGGCGTCGATTGTTCGCATATTAAAACTATTATTATTAAAATGCAGGCATTTTATCATTTCAATCTATCTCGAATACCTACGGATGATCAATCGTTAATTCCGACGTATCGTTTTGCATAGTTATTAAAATACTTTAGTACAATTAACATTGTAATATGTATTATTAATTGTATCGTATTATGAGTATTTTTAATACTTGATATCAGAAATTCTTAAAAATCGAATTATTTTGTAAATGTGTGTTTAAAGGTAATAAGAACGTTCATTAATAAGATTCAAAATTAATCACCATAGTAATCGATTATATTTATAGTAAATAGTATTTTGTTGAGTTTGATATTTTCATCGAAGTTTTTAATATTTAAAACTGCCGGAAGATTAAAAAACTTTCTTTTAATTTCAAGATACTTATTCGATGTATCCATCGAATTGCTCGGAAAGCTTTCAAGATTTTGTAACATTCATAGAAATTTAAATGTTTAGGTACGATAATCGTTTGAAAACTCGTATAGAATAGGAATGATGAGCGATATTACATGTAGGTATGTTACATTTCGAGAAAGGTAGGCGACAAGAGACACGTTTTATAGAATTTACACGGCGCCAGATGTGAGAATTGAAGGCGAATGAAAAAGAAAGCAGGTTTTTCTTAAATCGATTTTCATGCTCCTTCGTGGCTCCACACGGGGTAAGTTAAGACGGCCGTCTTAATAGCCGGCTCGCACCGCGCAGCCACAAAATTGCTAAAACGTACGTAAGAGCGACCGGCCCTTAAAACCACAGCTCGCCTTCAACCCTTTGACGGGCAGCGGGACACCCACCTCATGATAATTGAGTTTTTCATTATACATAAGTCTATTTCTGCATTAATAATGCTCAAACAAGATTCTACAGGATTCTAGATACCTAAACTATGAGATTCTAAGCCCTGTTAATATTAATTATTTTCACGCAATCGATAAATAATTTATGTAAAAAAACGTACGATTGTTCAATCGAAATTCGGTCACGGAGATTTTTCACGAAGGATTTGACTGAAAGTTTATATGTGGGGGTTTTTGGGATCGCTGAATACGAATCGGAGGTTAAAATTATAAAATTTAAACTGGCGGATCCAAGATGGCGGACAAAAATAGCAAAAATTCAAGAATTCTCATAAAAATGTGATGAAGTATCTTCGAGGTCGCTGATTACGAATTTGAAGTCAGAATCATAACGTTCAATATACAGTGGATTCGAGATCGTGGATCTATTATATCTTTAGCGAAAAATTGCCAACTCAAATAAAAATTGCCTACATATTGGGTCCATCGTAGATGAACTATACTTTATAATTTTGACTTTAGATTCGTAAGCAGCGACAACGAAAACCTCTTAAGTACAAAGTTTTGCGGGAATTCGTTAACTTTTCCCATTTCGATCCGCCATCTTGGATCCGATGTGAATTTTGCATTTCTGACCCCAGAATCGCGATCAGCGAGCCCGAGTACCTAAAGAACCACCGTAATCCTCATTATTGGTTGGCTACAAAAATGTGCCCCTGAAAGGGTTAAGTAGAATCGCAGACGCGACGCGTTCTATATACGGGCAGGAGGAGTATTTTTACGAACGTCTGACCTAAACCTCGCCGTGACTACTGGCCGCTGTTGCGCGAGGCCGAGCCGGAGGTGCGGAAGGGAAAAAGGAATCTCACGTACACACACGTACACAGAAGCACGTTCTACGAGCGTCTGACCTAAAATGCCGCGGTAACTGCTTGCTCACACTGGCGGAGGAAGGGAGAGCGAGGAGGTGATTGTGCTCTAATACAGATGTCAGTATATCTCGCTTAATATCCCTCGCATTTTCTCCGATTACACAGCTCTGTTCTTATAATCCTGCGAAATCACGTTCCTTCCACCGCGCCGTGACGTTTGAAATTGAGATTTCGCGTCTGAAATCGAGATAGCGCGACTGCGGATCCGGGACGATGCCATTCGTGCACGAGCGTATCTCTTTTACGTTTCATGTAAAAGAGCAAAAAAAGATGATAAAAGACCGTTAACGCCAGCTAATGTTCCGTCGATTAACAAACAATTGCAACTACAATGCTCGACGGATAAATGCGAGGAAAATCCAACTTCTCTTTTTCTTTTCGGATTATATCGCCGCGTGTAGTCGCTCAGCTGTGTATGAAGGTAATTAGAAGTTAGAGTTAAAAGCGACCGTCTTGGCGTTTCCGTTTGGCGTACCGGCATTAAACCGCGAGTGAGAGAGCGAGAGAGCGCGCGTAGGCTGAACTTTCCGCTGCCGTTGAATTATTTACTCGTCGCAATTAGCCGTCTCGCGGAAGAAAGTCGCGGAAGTATTCGAAACACAGTCGTCCCGAATGTAATTACGGCCGCCGGCATCGCACGCGATTAAAGCGCCGGCGGTCGCGTTGCGACTCGCGAGGGTGCAATTTCTCTGCCGGCGGCAGACGTCGAAGCCGGGTGGCGGGACAAGAAAAGCCGAAAGTTTGCCGCGCGCCTCCTCGCGCCCTCGTACGTTGATTTACGACATCGCGACGGTAACCTCACGCTTCGGACATAAATTTCGCCCGCGTTGTTAAATAAAACTCTCCTGGCCGACGACGCGCGACGCGCGCACTCGTGCATAATGCGGAAAATTCGCGCCGAAGTAAGACACCGCGCTCGGCCTCGGTTCCGACCGGGCGCAAGAACTTAATGTTTCTCATTTCCAAGTTCCGACGGTGTCGTCTGACGGGACATCAGCCGGCAGTCTCTTGATAAGAATTTATTAACTCGGCTTAATCGCCAAGTTTTCTCGTTTTCCCCGAGAAAAATATTGTGTACGGGCACAGCGAGGCACGGAAAGGCAGGGAAAGCAATCTAATCGCCGGAGTTGTTTGACTACGAATGATAAGCGTCTGAAATATGCGCATAAATTCCGTAATGTCAAACGGATGTCGTAAGTAGGAGAAACTAATTATATCGCGGTGCACGACGATCTCGCGTGACGGTGGGGAACAAAGGCAGAAATCGCGTGCTTTTTTCAAGTCGCATTGTTATTTTTGCAACGCCAAGTACACGTCGTGCACGGAGCGTAATCTTAAGAGACAGTCCATTCGGAGCGTTGAAATTATACCGAGTCGTGCCGTTGTATTTCAAAGGGGTCTCTTAAAGTGTTTCGTTATTTATGACCGTCGTCGATATCAGGCTATTTAAAATGCAAATAACCCCCCCCCCCCCCGCGTTTGTAGATTATCGTAATACGCATTTAATTATTCCTAGCGTTATCAGATGCTGGATTAAAGCGGAGCATTATGTGTGTCAGAAATATCTCGTAATTAGAATACGAATGCGATTAATGCTATCGTATTTTAAGCGCGAGTAAGCCCGCGAGCCAATATTGAATAAAGATAATCCTTTGCAATAAATCGCGACATTTTTATCGATTTTAGCTTTAGCATAAGAACGGCCTACTTTACGTTACAGTCATGATATATCCATTAACATAATAAATTCCATAAAGTTCATCGATATAAAATTTCCATATTTTGAAAATAATTATATAATAATCAATTTTGAGTCTGTACGCTCGTTGTATATGAATTAGAGTGAAATATCGGTGTCGGTATACGAGCTTTGCGTGTTTAATGTTAAAAAATCAGGACCGCCGCGCTCGGCGTGTTTAAGCGCTAAATTGATGAGTGCGATTTAACTCACGTATCCCACCATTTCGCTGTTGCAGTTCTGGTCCGCGTATGTGCCCTGCTCGTCGCAGCATCTCGACTCGGTGCAGCTGGCCCTGGAACAGATTGATCTCATTCGACGACTGGTCAACAAGCACTCGGACAGTATGGTCCTCGTTACCACGGCGGAAGGTTCGTACTTTAATTTACTCTCCGACTCGGCGCCGGTAAAATCAGGACCGCCGTAAGACAACAGCCCGGGACGTTAAATGCGAGAATGAAAATTCGCCTGGCGATACATTTGGCGCGCGGCCAGTTCGATTCGAGCCACGGCCTCGCGCGCGATAGTGCTCTACTACTTTCGATCGAGCTCGCCCGGTCGACACTTCGGCCGATTCGGAAAAATATGTGGACGACGGAGGAACTTCCGCGGGAGCCGTCGATTAAAAACACTCGCTATTTTTCACTCGACGGGCAATTTATCCACCTCGAATTACAACGAATATTCCACTTAACCCCTTAATGCCGGCCATATTACTTGATAATCCGAGTTTCGCCCGGAGATTAATGTGTTACGCGGCGCTGGATCAATCTTGCATAATTGCTCGCTATATCAATCTACTCCCCTACAGACCGGGCTAATGTTTAAAGTTACAGAGACAAAGAGAGAAGAGAGTGTTCACGGTGTATCTCCCCCTCTCGTCCGTGCAAACAGATTTTCGGATCCATCCTATGAAATTTTTCCCTCCTCCCCCCCCCCCGCCGGCGCGTTATCCGCGCTCTGCACCGACCTTTTCCTGTAATCTCCGTGTCTCGCGTGTTTCGCATGTTGATGGATATTCGCGAAAATAAAAACATAACTGAAAAATGTCATCCCCGGAAATGTGTCGTCTGCAGCACGTGTTCGCTACGTCCCGGCGTCTGGAGCCGGCGCATCGCTATAGCATTAAATTTTCATTGTCGAATCGTGTTATCTATTTCCCGCTTCGAGTTCTCGACATGTTCGAGATCCCTTGATACCTCGGAGGCAAGCGAGAATCGTCATCTTCCATCCCGCGTCTCGTTCTCGCAGCCCTCCCATCATCCTCGCTACGGATTCTTTCTCAAAAATTTAAAATGCACTTTAGACTGCGCGCGGAGGACGCGCCAGGAAAACGAGCAATCGCTTTCCCAGCGTAAGAGGCAGCTTTCGACCTCGTCGAATCCATTTCGGGATGATCCGTCGATGAAGTTGAGTTTTCCAGGCGGTGTTACGCCAAAGAATTGGAAAAAAAACGAGAGTGTAATAAGATCGATCCGAGGGAAACGATTCTCTCTCGCGTTCGCGTCTATTTTTAAAAGCGAAATTCCCACGTGGGGGCTCGGGTCTCTCGCGCGGCGCTGAACTAGTTTATTGATTCCATAAAAAATATCTGATGATGCAATTACATTCGTATCGATAGAAATATAGCATAGTATTTTGATGGCGCATTTCGAAAATCGCATTTATACGATAAATTTGCACGCCGCTTTGCCCCACATTCGTTACTACCGCATCGCGACAACAGATCGTTACATTGGTCGTTTCCAACGTTTTCCATTCCGTTTCAAAGATTTGAATTAGTGTAATTCAAATCTTTTCAGTAATATTTTTGTAAAGAGATGAGAAATGCATTGATCCAATAAAACTTTGATAAAAATCAAAGAGATAATTTAAAAGAATGGAAGTAGAACGTGGCCTAGACACATTCTTACTTTAAAGATTTTCAACATATGATACGAATTGCCTGTTGCGATAACTTGGCAATATTTTTATACGATTTATTTAAAGGAGAAATCATTCCAAAAATACATTTCCACAACTGTAACAATTGTAACGTTTCAATGTAACAAACATTGTCGTGTCGTAAACGCGAGACTTCGATAGGTCCTCCTTTGAGCTTTCAAAAACTGGTGAATCGGTGGAAAAAGGAGTAGAAAAAGTCGACAACAACGACCATTGCGACATGATGAATCGGTGATATCGTGAAAACAAGAAAAAGAATGGATATTCCCGGTAAATAGCGTCGCTTTATCGATTGACTTCTGTTTGTCGTATGCATTTCTAAGGAAAGACGGATTCGCGTTACAGAGAGAGGTTTGTCAAGTTTGATATTACGGGAAACAGTCATTATGCTTCGGCTTCTCCGCAGGCATTATGCGAACAGAAATTACAGCCTCGGGACAATTTCAAGTATAAATATTTCAAATAGACACGAAATTAAACGGTATCGACGTATCGCATTATATATTAAATATTTCACGATATTTATTCAATAAAACCTTTTGATGGAGTTATTCGAAGAAGTTTAAAGCCGAGGAGATCGCAATGCATTTTACTAAACATAGATTCGGGATTATCTTGTATATAGAAAATTCCCTGCAGATTCCCCAACTCTAATGGAATATGTCGAATTCTTTTTCGTTTTTAATAAATAACATAAAATTCCTTCCGCAGCTTTTCGCCGCCTCGGTTGCTATTGTTTCTTTCTTAACGTTCTGTTGCTTTTCTATTTCCCCCTCCCCCCTCTCTCTCTCTCTCTCTCTCTCTCTCTCTCTCTCTCTTTCTTTCTCTCTGTTATTTTTAATGCGTCTTATTTTACGAGGATGTGTACGCGTCAGACGAATTCCTAGAAAATTTCCTATATTTGGTGAGCAAATATTTGCCGCTGGATTTCGCCGTCCCGCTGTCACAATGCGCGGCTGTCTAAGCGTAACGCAAATCCGATGGGAAGATGATGGAACACGAGGAAGATGCGCCGGATGGTAAATTCCGACTGGAATGGAAAAATGTCGGTCCGGCGCTGCCGACCGACGTGCTCCCGTTCGATAACCCCGAATGTCGACGACTGCACGTCGCCGTGCACATCCATATGTAAATGAACATAAAATACGCATACGTACGTTCATACATACGGACAGCTGATCGCACGAAACCGACAGCCCATTCTCCGCGTCGCGAGTTTTTTCGCCGCTGATTAAAAAGGCCACGGTATCTCGGGGAACGCGCATCCTCGGAAGGGATTTCTGTTACCGAGACAAAAAGATATTCTCGACGCATTTATATTTCTCACAACCGCGTTTAGTATAAAAATAAGACAGTATCAAAATAAAGTCAATAATTCTTATTCTCCTCTATCGCATTAAAAAAGATTGACTTACTGTATTGAGCAAGAGTAAGTTATATAAATGTAAGTTTATATATATTCTTGCGTTTAGAATTAATTTTCCATCTTACAACGCACAAAGTCGGCACCACGATATTCGGACGATACATACTATCAATTTATTCTAGATTTCAGAACTTTTAATTTAAGATTAAAATATTCCCTTCTCTATAATAATTCTGATTGATCGATACTACATCGATCCTATTTTATGATACACTCAAGTGCAATGGCGTTGGGTCCGGAAATTTCTTTCTGCGGGCGCGGACGCCCGCCGTAATCCCGCCCTTTTCCGCGCTTTCGGGTGTCGAATCCACCGCGAGGAATGACACTTTCGAGGAGACTTCCGAGGAAAACAATTTCGCACGGCCCGCCGACGATTTCGCGTATCTGCCTCGACAGGCGGTGGAAAGACAAAAAACAAGGTCGCGTTTAATTTTCGAAGCTGCATTCGCGGATTTCCCCGCCGCACCTCCTTCCGTACGCGCGCAATCCATTCTCGATTCACATTTTTCGAAGTGTTATCTCTGCCTCGCTCGCCGTGCCGTTATATGCGAGTGTTGATAGAAAGACAAACGATCGCGTGTCACCGTAGAGCAAACCGCGCGCGCGCGCGTCTTTTTAAAAATATGCAAATTTCATGCACGTTACGCACACGGTGGCGGGCGTTATCTCTCCCCGGGCTGGGAAAGGAGGGGGGGGAGGGGAAGAGTTCGCGAGAGAAGCGAGAAAGTACAAAATATAGCACTTTGGGGAAGCAATCTGCCAGATGGAAGAAAGGGCGCCGCTAGAACGCGGAAGATGAGAAATTCCGCGAGGAATGGAAGAATGTTCTGAAACCATGGAGCCGCGCCGTAGCTCCTCCGATAATGTCGAGGCGCCTAGGTCTTGGTGTACCGTACGTGCGCGGGGTGCATACACTCGCGTGCACCCGCCGCGGGATACGCGCGCGTACGTACAGTGCGGGCGAGCAGAGCCCCGAGCCGATACACTCGCGCGGGATGAAACGTATCGGCGTGCGGGCGGGTGCAAAAGTATAAATCGCGGGGCGCAGTAAATCAGGGGGCCATCGACAGCGCGCGTTTTATTCGCGTCACTCCTTTTTCGCCCGCTCGTCCATTAGAGTAGCCGTAATACAACGTAATCGCCGGGCACGTCAAACGGGAAAAATTAAAGCCGCGACAAATGACGTTGGCTGCGATGCGCGCCCACGATTTATTTCAGGATGCGAAAATGCAGCCGGAAGAAGCGCATCGTTAAGCTTCTTGCCGGTCGCAAGTTGGGGGAGGAGCGGGGACCCGTCAAGGGCCAAAGGAGTCGGAGCTAAAGCGATCTTGGGTAGACACGTCAGAAGTTTTCGTATTGAAAGATGGCTTCCGCGATCTGTCGTCCTAAAACAGGATTATACATTTAAAAAGTATGCAAATTGTAGCACGGGCACTCTCCCCTACTTACGAACTTTCGTTTCGCAAACTTTCGCGAGTAGGAAGAAAATGATAATTCGTCAATGCCAGCGCGGCGAGGGTCGCTCGCGCGAGGAAGGACGCGGAAGAGTTTAATCCTGAGAGAATAATTCCCGCCTCCTTAATTTACGCAAATGTATTTCGTGCGTTTCCCTTTTAATTTCTGCGGGACAAAAGCGTCGAGAGCTGCGTACAGCTTGAACGCGAAACGCGGCGCGTCCCGAAACCGTTAAGTTGCATTTATCCCCGAAAACGTTTATCCTATACGCGAAAGCTCCGTCCGCACGAGCTCGTCGATTATCGATCCTTCGAACGGCACGCGAGTGCAGGCACGTTGAACGTATTAAAAATATACACCGGTGTGTATATCGTAACGATGCAGCGCAGGTCGTATTATGTATTCCGGTTACTGCTTTTGTGATACCACCGCGCGCTGCGGAACGATATTTTTAGAAGCGCGATAATCCGCCGTTGGCGTCAAGTGTATTACTTCCACCTAGCTGCCGTGAATTCTTTGTAATTGGATGATAAATTACACCGCGCGCGCTTTTTCCCTCTTTTATCGAACTCATCCGTGAGCCGCCGTAAGCCGAGCCACCGGGAGTATCGCAGGTGGCTGGTAAGAATTCGCACGGGAAGGCGTTATAAATATATATATATATATATACATATATATATTCGCGCGTATCTATGCAATTTTACGCGAACGTATTGACAGCAAGACGCCTCACGCGGACCCCCAGCGCGCGGTATCCAACGGGGTGTTTTAATCAAATCCGCAAAACGCAGACCGCGAAATTGAATTCCCCGATACCGCCGGCCGGACCTCGCGCCGTCGAACTCGATTAGGCGATTAAATGTCGCGGAACGCCGACAAAATGCCCGATTACCGACTGATTAGGAGGCGCCGATTCCGCCTTCTTCGATCGGCCTGGATTTCGGGCCCCGCGGCGCCGTACACTCGTCGCTGGGTTAATTAACTTTTATTTACACCTTGTAATTAACGATCGCCGCCGCGATGAGACAGTCCCGATAATCGCGGGCAATTTGAAAGATTTAATTAATCCGAAGATCGGAGACACCGGATAAGCTCCGCTTAATTATGATCCGCGTGCGTCGCGCGCGCATTGTGCACGTCGTAATTGAATTTTACACTCGCATTGTTCGCGGCGGCGAGTGTGGCGTAGATAGATGTGCGCTGCTCAGTAAACAAATGAACGAAAAGATCCGAGTTCAAATCCACGGACACCGCTGCTTGTTTTTCGAAATCTCCCGAAGGAAAGTGGCAATCAGGGTATAGTGGCTTCGGGGGTATAGCCATTTCAGATAGGAGGTTTCCTTCGGCAAGGTTAGCGGCCTACTGAAAATGAAGTAAAACCAAATGCTCAAAGTACCAGAACGAACTGGATAAGACAGACTTTGAAACCTAATACACGAGGAAGAAGAAGAGGAAGCATCGTTCGCGGCCGGGCCGCGCGAAATAAAAGGGAGACACGGGAATTGCGGAAAAGACACCGCGTTCAACTCACGATCTCCCTTTGACGACACCTTCGTCCCGGACACAATTCCGGGGCGTGCATGCATACGTCCATCGGGAGCGCCGTTTCGGCGCGGCTCCCACGCCTCGTTGTTTTCCGATGTCGCGCAAAGAGAATTTTGCAAACTTCGCAGATCCACTTACCATCGGTATTACTTATCGAAGGCACGGCCGGAACTTCGTAACGACGTTCCAGCAGTTATTAGATTCACGTGTCACTCGCGCTACGTGCGGAAGCTCGCGAGAGCGAGATTACTCCGCCGTGGAAAGTTAATGGACGAGCTCGTAAAACGTAAGAGAATTTCTCGTTTACGCCGCTCATTCGTAATGCTAAACGGTTAAAAATGCAGTGCACGCGCGAGGTTTGTCTATCTGAGAACGAGACGTTCACCTGCGAGTTAGCAGGACCGAGCGCGATACAAATCCATCGTCCTGCCGGGGCAAGGTCCGTGACGATAATGAGCCATGAGGCTCAGTTTCAGATTTTCGCTGTTACGCGCGTGCATAGACATAATATATCTGGACCGAGCATTGAGCAGTGGGGGCAGAGGTTCGCGTAGAAAAGGACAAACACTGGTTTGTGCTATTTAGTTATCTCTTGTTCGCAAAGCACAAAACGGAGTTTGTCCTTTTCTACGTGAACCTCTACCCTCACTGCTCAAATAAAGGCAAACGCTCGGTCTAAATATATTACGTCTATGTACGCGAGTGGGGTCAGGGAGAACGGGGCGCGCTAAGTAAGTTATAACGCATGGTTTCAGGTATCGAGAGGGCGCACAAAGAGGCTAGATTAGCGAGCCTGATAGGGGTCGAGGGGGGCCACGCTGTCGGAGCGAGTCTGGCGGTCCTGAGGATGCTGTACGAGCTGGGCGCCAGGTATCTCACCCTCACGCACACGTGCAACACGCCTTGGTGAGTGTGCCAGCGCAGAAATAAGAGCGCCGGCGATTCCTCAAAGTTAGGCGTACCCAAACTTAAGTTCTAAGTCAAGCTCAAGCCCGTTCCGTTTAAATCGAGGCGTTAAAAGCATCAAAAGCGATCTAAAGAAAGTAGAAGTTGTAGGCTCTACACGAAGACAAACAAATAAATCGACCGAAAACGGACTCTTGCCGCGTATTGCTCTGCGTTACTGAACGTATCGTTAATTACAAATTGCAATTTTGTTACCTCCCTCCCGAAATAACGTTATCGAGTTTACGTATTGTATTAATTAGGTAGGGAACGCGCAGTCTATTCTTGCTATGTCTATGATCTCAAGTACTCAAGTATTTCAGTTTTCACGGGAATAACTTTGAAAAAGTTCACCCTTAGAGCGTTGCCTTGACGAGAGATCGGGAGATTTAAACGCAGCGTCCGTGTATCCAGTGAGTGAAAAAGAGTCGTCGGTGAAAATGTAACTTGCGCGCAGCGAGTCCGCCCCCATCTGGGTCGGGGACTGAAATAAAAACGTATCACCCGATCTGCGTTGATGCGTAAATAGCGATTACAGTGTAGAATTTTATCGCCCGGCTACTGAAAATGGGCCTTCAAGCCGCGCAATAACGCCGGTCATTGCGGGCAGATGCAATCGCCGGTTGCCTTTGCAGACAGGACCTTTCATCCGCGTTGCCTAGAGCAAAACACACGGCCGACGATAGTAATTCCAAGCCGTACAATTTCATTCATTTCTCTCGTGCATTAAAAGCTATCGCTTTGAACGCGAGCGGTAAAACGTTTAACGTAAACGGATTAAAGTTCCTATAATAGTTCGCGCACGGACCGTAAGAGATCAACGACATAACGTTACCGCGATGCGTTTGGGCAGTAATCCGCAAAATTCACAGACAGCATAGCTTCGCGGTATTACCGTGGCCTTTCGGAGGCTGTATTGCAAAAAAACGATAATTGCAGTGTCGCGGGCTCAGTTATAGGTCGTCCGGCTTTGGTAACGGAAACGCGAGAGACGTTAACATTAATCACTTAAAAAATTCGTGTCGCCAGCGGAATGATTGACAAATGAAACAGATTTCTTCGGCCAGAAGAAATCTGTTTTATTTATTAACATTCAACCAGAAAAAATGTTTGAATTATTCAATTATTATTTCGTTTTATCCGGACTTCTATATCAATGGCCAAAGCAAATTCACCCTACATTTAAGTATGTAAAACTTCAGAAGATTACTTGACCATGTCTGGCAAATTTTTATCCTTAAACTCACAACGTTTCGACCGTGGTTCGTGGTCCTTCTCAAGTGACAATTGTGTCAATAATTTCGTATGGTAAATCAAAAGAACTGATCTTAATTTCATGAACGGCGAAACATGACTTGACGGAATTATTGACACAATTGTCACTTGAGAAGGATCACAAACCATGGTCGAAACGTTGTAAGTTTAAACATAAAACTTTGCCAGACGTGGTCAAGTAATCTTCTGAAGCTTTAATTACTTCTGGCGACGTATAAGATTTCCTCCGGTCCTTTAAATATGTGTTTTTATTTAAGAAAAAAAAAGGATACGTCCGTAAAGTATAATAAAATGGGAGAAAGATGTAGGAAAAAGTTCCTTTTCGTGAAATTTAATTATACAATACCATCTCGGTCCTCGGTAAACTGTACCTAACGAGTCATTCTTTTTTCCGCATGTCAGGCTCTTTTGTTTCGGAGATAGGGAAAATATCGAGCGGAGACGCGGCATTGCGTGAAGATCGCAGGCCGCGCGGGCCAGCTGGTGCCGCGCGGCAGACGGAGCGTCGAAATATTGCCGTGCGACAAACAATGGGCGGCAAACTTTTACGAGACGTCTCTCGACGACTGCAAGTCGAACGCAATAGAAAGCTTCGCGAAACGAGCTGATGTATCGCGAGGGTATCGTGCGTTTCGACGTGCCGTCCTACACGAGCGGGACGAGCTCTGATCGATCTGTCCCTCCCCGGTTTCGGCTTCCGGTTTTATGGTATCGCGCTCTGTTTTACGACGTCGTGATGAAGAATCGCTGCTCTATTATAGATAAATTTTGTCGCGTTATCGCGTTTATGGCTGGGATGGATTTACGTTTTTCTCCCGAACTCTCTCTCCTCGCCGCCCCATAAAGTTTTTCGATAAAGATTTTCGACAGGACCGACGCGACACAAATTTCGGGTTAATTAACGCGACGCCGATATTTTGACATTTTTACTTGCAAATTGACTGGAGTGATTCTGCACTTTTGGCACCTTTTGCTCCTAGAACTGTCAATTCGTGAAAACATTTGTATAATATACAAATTATATGGCTTTTGTGTAGAGACCGACAATGTCCCACTATTAAGATTAAATCAAACAACAGCGTGGTATCATTGAAATTAAGTTTAGGAGCTTAACAAGAAGTCTATTTACTGAATAGAGTGAACAGATATTTTGTTAGGCTTTTGATCTTAATTTTAATGATAAACGTCACGTGACGCGCGCGGGTAAATTACGTCCCGTTGAATTGAATGGCTTTTACGCGAAAGAAAGCGACCGGTTTCCAATGGCGAGAAATAGGTTCCTCTAACGCCCTCCCACCCTTGGAAGTCATTTTCCCCGATATACATGCCTTTCGGTCACACATTACACGACGCCATTCCAATTCTCCCGGGGCGCACAACTAATCGCGATAACAACCGTCGGCGTGGCGGCGAAGGGGAGTTAAATATCTTATGTAGATGGGATTATGCGAGATGTACGACGTGCTTTAGGCGTCAGCTCGAGGACTCCGCGGTAATGCCGCGCTGACAATCGCGCGCATTAGCGCCGTATCCTCCGAGCCGTCGCGAATAGAGCAATGACGCGGCGGTAATAGTAACGATAATCGATAGATCGAGCCGGTAATCGGCCGTCGCGTATCCCCGACTCCGAGATATCGGCCGCGAGTTTTGGCCGCCGCGCCGGATTTAATTGCGAGCGACGACGACGGCGACGGCGACACGCACCATTAAATCCCGCGGCTTTCCCTCTCGTTCGTTTCGAGCGACCGAGCTGTACGCGCGGTGCCCGTCGTCGAACGTTCCGCCGTATCGAACTTAATCGCGCGGGACTCAACGATCGGGCACCTGTCGCGCGGGCAAACGCGATTTCGCGGATTTATGGTCGCGCGCCTGGAGAGGCGCGACAGCCAACAACGGGCCCGGGCGCATTTTTGTTTGCCCGCGCGTCGTAATCGCGCTATCTATCGTAAAATGCCGGGTGTTCGACGGACGCGTATAATATTGTTACAGTATATATTAATCCGCGCGGGATTTATCATGTTACACGCGAGATTTAATTGCAAAGCGACGGGATGGGCCGAAGCAGGGATGCGTGAAACACAACGGTCGCCGCGGAAATAAATCGCGCCGGCCACGCTCGGCAACGCTCCTATTGTCGACGATTTTTGTCGGCGCGGCTTTCACAGTGTGCGCGTACTTAGGCCGGTTAAAATACACTCGTGAAATAAGCTGCGCGAGTTGATGGCCGTCTCGCGTGTCTCTCATTATACATCGCGTAATAACGAAGGTATTATTCGACGAAATAGCCGCAAGTTCTCTTTTACTCGTTGTCAGTTAAACGAATACACCGAGAAAACTTTTGAAACGCGGCGATTTTAAACAATCGCACCTTGTAAATTACCCCTTGGTAATTTCGAACAATAACGAGTACGTAATGAACATTTTGCGTAATTGAGTAAGCAATTCAGTAGGCAAAACAGTATCGTGTGCCGCTGGCTTCACTCGGTGCTCTCTTAGGGCCAGTTTCACAAACGTCGGTTAACTGCTAACCGAAGGTTAATTGATCCTCTGTCTCTTCTTATTGTTAGAGAACAAAGATAGAAAAAGATGGGGCGTTGACTAACCTCTGGTTAACAGTTAACCGACGTTTGTGAAATTGGCCCTTAGTCTGTTTGGTTTGAAAAAACTCGAGATAGGCCGGCGTGTAACATTTTTATCCGGTAGCCTGTCCGCGTGAAAATTCTCCTACTGTCTCTCGTATAAAATTGCAAAGTCAAAGATATCGAGATTAGGTACAGATTACGTGTCGCTTAGGTTTATTTCGCGGAAGCGTATCAGATCTAATGAACACCGTTGTGTAATGTACATTTAATGAAGTCGCGTACCGCGATATACCCGAGATGATCCAAAATAGAAACGAATTAGTTGCGGTATGACTGCGAACTAGCCATTGTGGCTCGCCGCGAGCTACTGTCCTGCGAATACTACTATCGCCGTTATCGTTAGCATTACACGGGCGTGGAAAGCTGTGATTAGAGGAAATTCTATCGCAATAACATTCACGATTGTAGCTACTGAGTTACTGACCTGTTGGTTCGTTAGGGCAGACTGCAGCACGGCGGACGAACCCGGTCAAGTGCCTCAAATCGGTGGTCTCTCGAATTTCGGCAAGGTGAGTAGAAAAAAAATATACTCTCGAGCTTGTATTACGTTAGACACTTTAATGCGGTGTGCAAATTCTCGTATTTGCGGAAGACGCGAAAATCAACATCGAATAAGAATATATCGCGCGAATGATAACAATGTACTGTTATTCGTATGGTAATATTCGTAATATTCCACCCCGTCTGAATTCTCCGGCAAGTTCGCGAGATTTTACGGAAACCGCAAACACGCATTATGGGCATCGGACACGGATTTCATGGAACGTATACATCCCTCTATGAAATTATTCTCGCAAAAATGTCATGCATCTCCCTCGGTCGTATGCGCGATGGTTAAAAAAAAAAAGAGAGAAGATTGTGCAACCAGTGCTATCGATCCCGCACGCTACTATTTATGACGCAGCGATACGTAAAGCGGAATTGGAAAAAAATCACACGGGTGCTCGCCTACTGAAATGCAATGCGATTTGATTGCGTTTCTTTTCGAAACAAATCTCTCGAAATTTTCCGGATTAACAGCTTCAAAGTTCGATTATGGTGTCAAACAGAATTAAAACACACTTTCCCTCCGCTCTCGGCTCGTTGCGACAGAATGACCGATTTCGACCGCGTCAGCCATATTCAACTGAGAGTTTAATCGTAAATCTGGTGTGTTCTGCGCCGCTTGTATCGACGTGTCGTCCATAAATATACGGATTTCAATGAGAATTTAAACGAAAAATGGTTTCACCAAAGTGGAACCGAAATGTTTTTGGTTCAATCGGAGATCCATCGGGAGCGGTGATATCGGATTTATTGCTGCGGTGATTTCGCAGACCCCCCTTCCCCCATCTATGCGTACGCACGGGAAAAGCTCACGTTATAACGCAGCAATAGTATCGAACCTTATGACCATTTTCTCGTTGCGCTGAATATCTCAGTCGCAAGAATAATAAAAGTTAATATCAACGCGATATCGTATTTTATACTCCGGGTATACTTTCTTGGCATACTTTCGATGGAATCATTATCATATGTGCCATATAATTAACGCATGATTATTTAATGTAGCTGTCTTGACGCGTTAAAAGTGTTTGTAGAACAAGCACTAAATTTCGCGAAACTAGATTTCGAGCAATCTACCGATCGAGCTGATCCTCCGAAAACTACGAAAATGGATGGAGCATGTTTCGAAGTTCTACAGCGCCATTGTTCGCTCACATGACGAAGGACGGTTAGTCCAACGGATTAGTGGTCGTTTCCAAATTCACTTCAACTCCCTGATACGCCGGCTCTGTCCATTACCGTTAGAGTAGCTGCTTAACTTTTAATATGTAAATTTCATCGCTGAGAACTTTAAGAGCATTATATCCGTCTCTTCATAAAGGCCGGGGATATTTTGCGAGAGATATATTTTGAATAACTCGAGTTTATTAAGACACTTTACAAGATACACCGGAGAAAGTATATTGCGAGAAGTTATCTGGGCGAAATGCGCTCACCGAGCATGTCGCACGGTTATTAAAACACTGACGATTTCGACGACTAATTGCGCGCGCCGGTGATACAATATCCCGTGTTAGTTTGAGGGTTAACTTGGAATACCAATCCATTCGTAAACGATGACGCCGTTCCTAGGCAATCACTTAAGAGCAATGCCGCCTCTCACCTTTCAAGGATATATCTTCCGCTTGTCAAACTTTAAGTTTCTCGCGAAAGTGTCACGTAGAAGGGGTCGTTGCGAAACTTCACGCTCGGGAATAGTCTGAGCAACAGGGATGTCACTCGACAGTCTTCATCGATTCGGATGAGCTTAGGAAACAGCAACAATAAACTTTCCTCAGCCATTGCCAAGTTGCGAAATTGCAGTAATTGATCCAGTTCCATTTGTGCCATTAACGTTGTCTGCGAGTGGCTCATTGAATTTATTTCGATTATCGAAAAGCGAACTAAATTCACCGGTAAATTGGCATTACAGGCCCGACGCGGGCGGAGCGAAGGAAGCGCGATAAGTTTCGCAGATCGTTTTTATATTTTTATATTTGTAATTAATTCAATATCCATTTAGCTCGCGCTCGGGGCACTTTCGCGCTGCTTTCCAATTAATCGATTTCTACGTAGTCTTAATCACCGTAGATGTTCCGTAACAGAAATTTTGATTGTGTTTGCGACAGTGGTATGGTTAAGTCCTTGCCGATCAAGGAGGAATTGAATTTGCGCCACGGTGATGCTTCGAGCTGTTAGTTGCACGCTCAAACAGAGCTCTAAGAACTTTATCGCCCTGAGTGCGGGGAAACTATCCCAAGGTCTCGTTCCATTATCGACAGGACTACGTTATAAACGATGTTTCATCAAATCACAGCGCCTACGCTGGATTCTTCTTTTATTTCTCATCGATTTTTCGCATACGTTTCATACACGTACAACTTTATTATTGTTGAGCCTTGTATTCAGAATAGCATTCCTTGAGCAATTGGAGCAGTCGTTGAGTGCATTCGGCAAAACTTTCCGCTACAACCGTAGCGGTCGCCATTTCCCTGCCGGAAGTAATTCTACAAAATTCTACGAAAAATTAAATATAAGTGCCAGAATCTAAGAGATTCTACGTAAATTTAAAAAGTGTTATAAAATTGGGACAGTTTTATTAATTTTTGTGATCTTCTTCAAGTAAGCAGATGTTTTTAATTCTTTAAGATTTTGTTTCTCAAATTTTTAAAACTAGTAAAGCTTTGTACTAATTTTTACAAAATTGTACACTTTCATGAAACAATACTTGCATTAATTTCTTGGTTTGAGAACATTGTAACTTTTGATACTGTATCGTGGATATTTTTACAAAAACATAAATGTTTCAACGAAGATATAAAAATTTCTACAAACTATTTCAAGTCAATTTTTTGTAGTTATTTATAGAAATTTTTGTCCGCTAGAGTTTTCGTAATTACTCAAGGATTGCGAGGAACAATATGTCATTCATGAGCCAATCTTCAATATTTTCCATTCTATTCGTTTCAATTAATTGGTAAACGTGACTCTTACAATTCAAATACAATTTTGAAGTTGTGCATGCTAAAGTATGGCGCCGCTACAATTGTAGCAAAAAGCTGTAGCGCTACGGTAGCCGTGTCTTGCAGGAACGCACTCAATGGCTGCTCTAATTGCCCGAGGAATTATCCCTGTCGCCTGATTCATGCCGGTACGTCTACGGCATGTCTGCGGAAATAAAATACGCGTCGCTCGTTGCGAACGACGCGGCGGCGGAGGAATTTTCTCAAGTTCTTCCTGCAAGAGGATGCACTTGCTGGCTCATTCATATTTTATGTGTAGAGTAAGGCCGGTCTTTCTCGGCTGCGCGTTTATCCGTCTGTACTGACGGGTATCATCCGTCGTTTTTCAATGCGCGGCAAATGGTCAGGAGCAGGAAGAGATAGAGAGAAAGGGAGAAGGGGAGAGAGAGAGAGAGAGAAAGTCGCAGACGATCCCAAGGGTGTTTTTCGACGGCCGAAGACGCATGCGAATGACTTTAGGGATGTGGTACAAGTGTAAACCAACCGCGGACGTAGAAATTGCTCAAATATTCAGTGGAAATGGCGCGACGGTGCACCGACTCTTATCCTATTGGGACAAAGAGAGATTTATCGCGTCTTCGTCCACGTCTAACTTGGGAACAAACGTCAAGACGTAAGTAAAGTCCCGCTTAGGATGATTTCTGCTTCGTAACGACTGAGAACCGTCACAATAGATAACTGCAACACAGACCCAGTAAGTCTAGGGTAGACAGGGACGAGGATGAGAGAGATCGCTGTGCGAGCGTGACGTACCGAGGTATATACCGGGATATATACATTTTTCCATTTGCCATTTAGATTTGCAACGCGCTGTGCATAGATTGCGTTTGGTCCCGCATTGTCGGCAACGAAAACAAACGGGATTTGCTAACCGTGACAGATGTTGCGATTACGTAACACGTATACTCGTCGGTCGGCTCCTTAGCAGTGAGCATCTCGCGTCACGTTCTCATGGTACCTTAACGGTATTCCGTAGATTCGCATCTTATTCCACGTGCGGAGCGTAAGGTAGAAAATCCCGGATTCTGGTAGGCGGTGCCGCGGACGTGCACGATTAAAAATTCATAGAAAATCTTCGAGTTGGTACGATTTTACGGAATCTTGGATTTACCCGAACTTCTGGGAAAGTTCAATTGCATTAGTCCGATTGTATCGCTATGGGAATCGGTTTCGTGCTCGAAACTTCCCCTTGATCGCTCAGAGATCGCTTCGATATACAAATAAATTATTCAAAAGGCAATATCTGTTATTTTTTCACGAGTCGCTGTGTCTTCGAAATAAGGAAATGCTCTTCACTCGGCCGCGGAGTGTCGCGATATTGCAAGAGTGAATAGCTTATCCGGGAAATCTCTTACAAATACTAGAAAATTACCGCGACACCGTCCGGGCGCTCGAGCGAATTAACGCCGCGTTGGAAAGGGTTAAAGTAGAAGTGCGTGTAACTTTTTTCCCGCGGTTTGCGGCCCGAGTTTACAATTATTAATGCCAGTGAAAGGAAACGTTAACCATGACGAATCCCCCTTTGTTCCTAAAAAGCCCGCCGCTTCTAACGGCCAAAGCCACTTTCGTCCCGCCATTCGGGAAAATACCAACGACGTGCTTGCCAGACGTTCGTCGAAAGCCGCAGCGTGCTTTCACGGTGCAAAGAGGGACAGGGGGCATGCAACTGCAACTGAAACGGAGCACTTCCGTCGACGTGCGGAATTTACATCGCTCGCATATTCGTAGGCGAGTTAACGCGACTCGTCGTTGTCGTCGTCGTCGTCCCCGTTGTCGTCGTCGTTGTCGGTGGTTCTCGCATTCGCCAGTAAAACAAGACGAGTACGACTCGTTTTAGCGGCGCGACGGCGGCGATAGCGTAGAACGGAGTGCCATGCGACGGTAGAACGTATTTCGATAGCGACTTTTTTTTTCAGGGGAACAAACGAGAAACACGAAACTTTGGCTGCTCTGCGGCTAAA